TATGTTAGATTCCGCTGTTTCTACCTTTATTTTTAAATATAAACTCTTTAAAACTTTTGTTATTTCTATCGCTATCGCTATTCCGTCCATTGTGCAAGGGGCTTTACACATTCAGTATTCATAATAATATAAGAAAGCGGGAACCTTTTTCGAGATATAAAAAAAATAATGATAATCATATTACTTTGCTATATAGATCATTTATATATGCGTATGAAATATATACAAAATAAATTATTGCCTTAGCGAGAATTAATATCTATGATTAAAAATCATACAAGCACGTAATTATAAAAATAATTTCTGAGTACGCATAAAACATTTTCATGTATATTTGAAATTATGATTTATCTTAGAGAATAAAAAAAATACAGACACATTATATAAGAAAAAGTTACTTTTGTATTTGTTTTATACTCATTATGTATCGCGGTGTAAACTTTTAGTTGTACAAGTTTTCGCGTTCTATGTATTTTCGTACGCTTACAGCTGGGACACGAAGCAGCAGGGTAGAATTATTTAAGTAATCACTTCTTCCTGGAGAATGGTTAAGCAGGCAAAACCTGCATGATTTCAAAAATGTATTTTACAATGTTTATAAAAATATAAACATTAAAAACTTTGCAACTTATCGGGCAACGTTTCTCACACGTTTCAACAAAATCGGACCGAAACTTAAAAAGCGGACATTTTGACGTTTCCGCTACGTTACTACGACGTTTTAGAAACGTTTCACGAAACGTTGCTAAGTTTCGGAAAACCCGTTGCAGAAACGTTTGCGCTACTTACGATGCTATGTGGGATATTATGAATTAGAAATATTTGTAACATTCTAAGATTTTTGAAGAAATTCTTGTTAGTTACTTTTATGTGTACACTAAAGAAAATCATTAAACATATGAAATTAACGGTCATCTTTTGATACGATTTTGAAATTTTCTGATACAGTTCCTAAATATATATACAATTCCACACAGAACAAAACTCCATTAGACATCTATTAGATATCGCATAAAACTGTTGACGTCTAATGGGTGTTTAATAAAATTTTTGTTTTGTGTAGGATTGCTTATACTGATTATGTAAAATATAAAATTTAATCAAGATGTGTAAAATATTAATTTTTATAATAGTATTCAATATTTAATAAACTAAACGAATTTTCTCTACATATTACTATGGACACACATGTATTTAATTTGAAACAAATATGATTTTTTATTAAATAGAACACGGCTGCGATATTCACTGCCATTCTAAAACTCTATATCTATCTTTATATTACATGTTCTATAGATTTCTAATACTGTTAGTGAATATCAGAACGGCCTAGATATCAGCCTAGATTGCGCACAAATAAAAAGTAAAAACATTATATGCAGATTTCATACACACAGCACACGATATTTTAGAATATGGATATCTGAGAGATATTATAATATCCAGAGATTATTCAGCGGATATCTCTTGAACATCGTTGTGCTGGGAACGTTATTGGCAGTGCAAGGTAGATTGTACATATATAGTATATGTATAAACAAATTGTACAAAACATTCTAACAAAAGTAAAATTTATTTATACATGTGTGTGACGATATATATTGTACTTTATTTCTTCTTTATTGTACGTGTCTACAAGCAATAGAGAAAAATTCGATCTACACATTTCGCGCGTTGTTCGAAAATGGCGCGCGCAAATATGCGCAATTGTGAACCAATATATATCGCCAACGGCCATGCTTCTCGGCTGTGTCTGTGTTGTAGTATGCTGTATAGTGCTTTCCTGATTCTGACGATGTTTGTGCGTGCCTGGTACGACTACTGTCTCACCACCGCGCTCGCTGTCACCGCTGTCGCGTGAGGAGGCTTGCGTTTGCCTCGCGTACACGAACATTACAGTGCGATACATCCAGACACTACGTGTGTGTCGCCTGAACGACATGTCAAGTCAAATATGTCTAAAGTGGAACAGTTTTCTCAGCAATATTGCAACCAGCTTCGAGAGCCTGTGGGAAGAAGAGGGTCTGGTGGATGTGACACTCGCGAGTGACGGACAGTGTCTCACAGCGCATAAGGTGATACTTTCGGCGAGCAGTCCCTTTTTTAAGAAGATCTTTCAGGTGAGCTTGTCAAGTTGTTCTCATGTGCAAGCCAATAAATCGAGTTATCCTTGTCAGTTGTTTAAAAATCTAGTTTGCTAATGATCCTAGCATGTATATTGTCATGTGCTTTGTGTTATGAGCACACAATATTTGACAGCAGCATGTAGTCTTTGAATTGTCAAGGTTAAAAATAAATAAAATAATAATTTGTAAGCCTAACCATTATATACAAATATATAAAAATATATATAATATATATAATATATATTACATATTACATATATATATATATATATATATATATATATATATTATTAAATAAACACTTGTCAGATAGTTCCAAACTTTCAATCTAAACATTTTTCATATTTCTATAATATTTTAGTGATATATATTGTTTTTAATAAGAGATAGATTGTTGTGTGATATACATTTATATAGACATGTACTGTCATAACACACATACAATATGTAGAAGTTTTAGAAGTCACAAATTAAACTTGTAAAATAATAATATTAATAATATGTGTATATAATTAAGCATATATATATAACATACATATGTAATTATTTATGCATGTTTAATGCATAAATAATTGATTAACAAAACAATTTTATTTGAAAAATTATCACTTATGTTCTCATTTAAACAAGAAATATTATATTTATAAATATGAAAAAGTTGTTTTCAGTAAAAAACAAAATAAATATAACTTATATAATATAATGTAGATTTATATTCTAACACTACTTTTTATCTTTTTGTATTTTTATTTTAGACAAATCCATGTCAACATCCAGTTATAATACTTCAGGATGTACACTTTAGTGAATTGGAGGCATTACTTATATTTATATATAAAGGAGAGGTGAATATTGAACAAAAGAATTTACCAGCACTCTTAAAAGCAGCAGAAACATTACAAATTCGAGGTCTATCTGGTGGAGACATTTTTGGAAAGGAGTCCTACAAACGATTGGCTGAATTAGAGCAAGCTGAGAGTGAAGATGCAACACTTACTAAAGAGGAAGCACCTAAGAAGAAACAGAAACTTAACAAACAACAAAATAATTCTATTTTAGAAAAAGCACTGACACCTAGAATATCACAATCAGAAAATACAAATGAATCTGCTACCAGTGATCAAAGTGGAAAAGATGGAGAGTACATGTTGCCTGAAACATTACCCAATCCAGTGTATCATCGTTTGGAGATGAAAGTTAGTTCTAAAAAATAAAATAAAAAATTAGAATATATTGATAAGAGTTGTGCATTTATATGTATATGTATACATACATGTATGTATATATGTGTGTGTATATATATATATATATATATATATTATATGTACATATATATTAAAATTTAGTGTTTAAATCAAATATTTTTCAGATAGAACCATTGGAAGTGGCAGTAGAAGACCTTCAAAAACAGTCTCCTTTAGATAAAGATTCAAGAGAAAGGCTAGATACAGGACAAACAGATGGAAATCAAGGTTTGTATAAAAAATTTATTGAAAATCTCTTCTATTTTGAATCATATAAAGCGATATGCGTTATTTAACAGGTGTGTATAAATATATCTTGTAATTAGATCCTGTGTTTCTGCTATAACATTAAGTATATTAACTGTGCAACATTTAAATTTTTAGCAGTTTTATGTTTTGCTAATTTTCTACCTTATGACAAATGTGAATTTATATAATTTTTATTTTTATATGTTCTTATTTAATACAAATTTATATTTCTTAGATAAAAATTTAAATATGAGAAGCAAGATTGTGTGTTACACAATTTGTTTTACTTTAAACATACTGCAAAGTAATAGTAGTTTTATTAAAGAAACATTAAATTTGTCGTCATTTTATAACCGCAAAAGCATTATTCTTGTTGATTATTTTCATTCTAATTATATCATATTAAAGTTTGACACGTAAGAATGTGTGTACATACACATACATATATATCATAAGAAAAATATTATCTTCAATTGGTCTATAAAATTGCAGTAATCTAATACAAAGATCATGATTGTATTTTTAAAATCTAGAGAATTGTTAGACAGAAGTTGTTATTTATTATATAATATTATAATTTATGATTTTCATTATCACATACACAAATGTTACAACACACAGTTGTGTGCTATTCACCATCTGTATACATGTTCGGCTACTATAGTATCAAAGTTTTTTCTTTGGTACCGCAAATCGTAGCTTTTTTTAATCTTCTGTTCGCTTTTACTGCATATTCTGTTTTGCTCGTTTTGGCGCAGCACGCCAATTTTCTTTATTTGCTGTGCTACAAAGATCGCGAAAAGGATAAAAAAGCAAAGATTGCATGCACGTGAATAAAGAGAATTATATCAAAAAGGCAATGAGAGCGACGTAAATAACAAAACGTAAATAACAATACCTAAACGTCATAATATAAACATTTTTGCAATAGAATAAAATAAATTTCCACACATTATATATTCAATGTAAAAAAATTTTATCATAATATCTGAAATCGCGATTGATTTGCAATAATTTGCGTACACTCTGGCAGTAATCTTTGCGATGTTTATTTCCGGAATTCGAAGAGTATGAGAACGAAGTTGACTTGAACGTCACGCTTCGATGGGCGGTGCATAAGCGTATGCGTGTCTGCATGCGTGAGCGGTGCATATGTGAAATGGAAGATGCAGTTCTTCATTATAGCCTTTAACGTACACTCGCTCGCATTTTCTTTATGTTGTGCGCGTAATATTCACGTGTGTGAGACAGTCCGTGTCTAAAGCGTGCTGTGCTGATGTGTGTGGCAGGGTCTGGGAACAGTCCTGCTGAAGACATTTCCGGCTTGTCCGGTCTAAGTGGATTCTCGGACGTCAAGCCGCAGCTTTACTCGTATCAGCACCTACCTTACGCCGATCTCTTGCCAAATCCTGATATAATCTCGACCTGGGCGTCATCACGACCGATGGACCATCTCGCTTGTGACCTCATGAAGATTCTTTTTACACCCGAGGAGAGGATTCTCTGCAACGTCAACGGCAAGATGGGCAAGCAGCAGTTTGACAGTAATAAGATACATCTGATTCGGGAAGTTTTATTGCACTTTAGCGGCATAGCGCCTAACAGCATTGAGTGGGAAGAGACCTGGAAGAATTGCGTAACCAAAATCGACACTAGCAATAGAGGTTTGAAAAGGTATTTATTTCAGAGACGTTCAGTTTACACTCAATGACTAGGGCGTTTCAAGTCAGGAGTAAAACGGAAACGTTTTCACTGGCTCGAATAGGATTCGTTCTTGTAAACCCGTCGCCCCGTTTTTATCCATCCAGACGTTGCGAGGCTCGTTCCCGCTTGTTTCTCTCGGTGTGAGCTTTACACCTAGAATGTTGTAAAAAAATTGATGTAAGTAGACAGTAAGAGTTGTGTATATTCCCCTATTACGGGGAAAGAAGAGACGGACGCGATTGGCAGGTGTGATTAAAATCACGGAAGTTTATATGAATAGGAGCAAGAGTTTTCTCTTATTTGTCATGATGAATCTAGATTGTAGACTTCGGGGTGACAGGGTGACTTAGAAAGAACGTTGTAGACGCAAGATATTCAAGATATTCATACGCTTCAAAGTTCACTACTCGATGTGACGGGTAGTGAATAATTATAAGCCTTCTTCGTTTTATATTCTAATTTTCACCGTATCGATAGAAATCTCCTTTCCTTTCGTATCCCAAAAAAGATTTTTTATTTAATCTCTTTTTCCGTCCTCTTTTTGTGTGTTCGTACGCTGTGTGTTTATTAAAGATTTTTCATATTTCTCAAACACACTTATGAGCGAGGTCAATCGCCTAACTACAACTTTGTTTATTTTGTACATGTGACAATTTAAATAATATAACATTCCTTCTCTTGGTTTATTTATTTACAGCATGTTCATGCGAGAACTCGTACTCCTTGGTAGTAACATATTGTTAAAAAGTCGACACATAAGGGAGACACGAGTTTCTCTCTCTTTCTCTCTCTCTCTCTCTCTCTCTCTCTCTCTCTCTCTCTCTCTCTTCCTCTCTCTCTCTTTTTCTTTTTCGCACTTGAATATATTCATCACGTACTCGCTCACACATTATCAATATCTGAACAGGATGCGCGTGTATATATGCATCCGTTATGCGTGCGAACACGTACATGTACTAGAAGTATATGTATGGTATATATGTAAATATGTGTATGTACACAAAAAAGCGTGTATGATCATATGCGCGCGTGAAATTGCTGCACGCTACGACCACGGCAACTATATGTACACTTACAGAAAAAGAAATTGTAGTTCTCGTACAGAGATATAGTGAGTTTAAGATATGCTTGTAGAATATTTAAATCACAGCAGAAAGTTGAATAATTTATTCAGGATACATCACGAACTATTTAGGATACACGTTGTGAACCAACGTGTGCGCGATATTTCCTTATATAGTCCATTTCTCGAAGCTTACGCTGTCCTTGATCTCTGTTTACGTGTAAAACCGAGTTCTCATTGGTAGCACAGCTGTTTGTTGAAATGTATTGATAGTTTCGAATTGGTGATTATTTAAATCGATAATATTGTAGACAAGACAAACGACTGGTTACAAAATAAACTATTTTTCATTTTTAATAGTCTTTTTATTTCAATGCACCTGTTATATTCCTTTAATTATCATATATCGAATACTTATACAAAAAAAGAGTGCTACGTTATGTGATAGTTATAAAGGCGATGATTATCTAAAAGATTTTTAAGAAAGAAAATATTTTGCATATATTTTATAAATGTAAATAATAGTTGGGTAATCTTAAACCTCAAAATCACGAACAGGGCAATATGTAATGTGAATAGTGTTTGTATTATTTAAAACTTTAGAGTACTGCGTGTATGTGTGTGTAAATCGTATTTTTTGTATTGTGTATGTTAAAAAAAAAAAACAAAATGAAGAAGAAATATTTACTAAAATATCAAACAGATACGATTATATATATATATATATACAGGGTGTCCCAGAATTGCCGTACAATCTTTCGTAGGCAGGTAGAAGGAGTAAAACTGAGTCGAAAAGTCCTGAACCATTTTTTTCTATTATTTATAATAAAGGAGTAATTATTGAGTAAATCAGGCCAATCAGCGCAGACCTTTAGCCGGGCACACGTCAGTGAGCACTCACACACACCAGGCGCGCGGCTCACTGACGTGCGTCTGGCTAAAGATCTGCGCTGATTGGCCTGATTTACTCAATAATTACTCCTTTATTATAAATAATAGAAAAAAATGGTTCAGGACTTTTTGACTCAGTTTTACTCCTTCTACCTGCCTACGAGAGATTGTACGGCAATTCTGGGACACCCTGTATATATATATAAATGAGTGATATATATATATGTATATCACTCATTTATATATATTTATATATATATATATGTATATCACTTATTTGCCGTATAGTATATATCAAATCGACTAATATTAATTGATACGCGTCTTATTTTCTTTTTATTTATAAAAAACAATTTAAATAATAGAAATTCCTTATAGGATCATCAAAGCCGATTCTGAAAGTGATAGCCGAAGCTCGCAACATTTCTCCAGGTTCACGAACACACGAGAAAAATCCGCTTGCAGTTGAACAGACTTTATTGTGGAATACTTCTAACATGTTGGAGAATCCACGATCTGATTCACCAAATCAATCTTGTGTCGAACAAATGTTAGATTATTCCGAGATCTCAAATTTGCCTGTGAATCACAATTCTGAAGTTCTGAAATCCGGATTTCCTATATTCACTGAGCCAGGACCTACAGATTTATCGGAAGAAACTATAAAAGGGGGACATTCGACATATCCACCGTTTCCCTGCCCTTTTTGCGACAGAGCTTACACGAGTTGGGGTTTTCGTAGAAGACACATAAAAGCCGTTCATACTATCTCTCCATCTCTTAATTGCAAGTGGTGTTTACAAGTAAGTTTGCGAAATTTTCTAATTTGTTTCAGGATAAAGCAAATCAAATTAATCATACTTGAATTCTAATGTGTGTTTGATGAACAATAATTTTTATTTTTATAATTTTCAGGTTCTTCCTACGCATGCGGCTTGGAGACGACATGTGATATCGACACACAATCTATCAGCTAGTGACGCGCATAACGGTCTCTTAATTTTAGAAGAAGCGCACATGGTTTTGCAAATAGCGCATCCTACTAAATTAGATACATTGGTTAACATTATTAAACAAAATTCTCAACAAAACTATGGCCACAACAACACTCAACCGGATTAGAAGATTAAGTTGCAGTTATTGATCAAGCGCAAGTACACTATTTTATCGTGAATATATGTGTCGTTTCTAATTTTATTTTAATACAAAATCGACACTGGTCAATGAGATTATTAATTGTGTTCGAAATAAATGCAAATTTAATTGCTTATATTTAGATCTTACTTTTGTAATTTTACAATGTGTAAAATGAGTTTTATACATTTTGATTATGTGTAAAACTCACTTTTACTATGATAATATTACAATATGAAGAGAGAAATAATTTGATTAAGCATACATATAATTAACTGACAATGAGCAGATTGATACAATTGAATCTCTGGTCGATGATTCTTATAATTCGGCCACGTGACCTTTAATAACAATCCCCGGTGCGATCTCTGCGGTAATATTATCATTGTTAACGTATCTCTCATCTTCTCTTGCGTACTTTTCTGACATGCGTATTATTTCATTTGGACTCCACTCTGGTGAATCTTTATGTCTACTGCCGCTCTTATAGACAACATTCGCTTCGTACAAGTCTTGATTATCGCGATAAGACTGATGGATTGATGACGACGTGACGCTCTCATATACAGGATTACGTTTCATTGAGGCCCGTTGATGAGGCGTTTTCCGAAGCATCGCCTAAAATAATAACAATGACTATTAAAAGTTAATGTATGTGTATATATAATTTTGTCTTTGTTAAAATTTATGACGTACACATCAATTGTTTTATTGTGATACATAGTGTTTGCATATTTGGATTACAGATTTGTGATGAAAATTACAAAGTATGTGTAAATCTATATAATTATACAAGATACAAAGAAGTAGAACGAATTAATTTGCACATTTTACTTGAAAGTTAAACGGAGGTGCATCATCATCTTCGTCATTATTGTTTCTGCGTCCAATCATTTCCAATTCTTTGATGGGATTTATGCTATAACGCGAAAAATAATTATTGTTAACCGAATTAATATTTCTCATACGTGGTGTACTTAAAGAGCCGTGTAAATATATTTATTTTTGTGTTAAAAAAAATTATGTATTAAGCTATAAAAACTCATAAAACTTTATCCTAATAAAATAAATACCGATTATTGTTGTTGCGATTACTTTTATCTTCAAGATTCCACTCTGTGTTTTCATCTATGTTGTTTCTGTATCGAAAGTTTAATTCATAGTTGTTAAAATTGCTCATTGCTGACGATTGTGTTTGATTGCATGGTATTGGTGGAGGTGGAATTTTTTTCCTGAGGCGTACTGATCCAGCATTATTGATTTTGTTCTATAGGTACATAAAATTATAAATTTTTATTTTACATTATATATATATATATATATAAATTTATATTTTACATATATATATGTATATATATGTATATATGTAATATATATATATAGAAAATAATTTTTAATGTTATTTTTGTTAACAAAAAGGTCTTATTTTTTGTTTTCTTTTTTTTTCAAACCAATAGTTGATTTTTCCACAACTTTTTAACGTTTAATTCTACATTATAAATCAACTAAGATATATGTTATATTGTGCAAACACATAATGAATCTCTTACTTCCTTGCAAACTTACAGAATAAGAAATATGAGACTCGGTAGATGGAACAGAACGTTTATTCGAAGGTTGATGGCCAGAAATGTTACTGTTGCGACGAGATTGCTCTTCCGGTGGACATTGAATTGGAACATTAGGATCTCTGGTATATGGAGTGTTGATTAAGCTTTGTTCTCCACCGACTGACGCACGATGATGGGGCACGCGATGCGGCGAGTTTGTCGTTTGAACTTCAACATCTGATAATGCATTATGTGTTATGTTTTTGCGTTTTACTTGTTTTTACTTTTGAGTTTATTTTGCTCTAATTTTTTTAAGAACTTAGTGCCAAAAAATGTCTTTTAGAAAGAGATTTTTATTAAATAAGAAGAATATACAGAATAATACACAAAAATTTACAAATGACGAATAAAAATACAAAGATATTAGAGTTTAGATTACTTGGAAATATCTATTTTAACGAATTTACATACCTCTAGTATGCGTATTGGTGTTGGCCCAGGGTACGGTTTGTCTTCGTAATGGCGCATCCCATGATTCACGTTCGTCGTCGCTTATCATGGATGATGCAGATCTGAGAAAATGTTTTTCTTAATATAATTTTAATTCTCGTTTTAATTCTCTCTTGGTAAAATTTTATCTCTTTCTTACCATTTCTATTAATAAAATTTACACATTTTAAGCAATAACATTTGAATTGTTTGTTTCTAATGTTTCTAATGTGTGTTGTTCATGGTTTAATTAAACTAGAGATCAAAATTGTAGAACATTGTAGATAACTCACCCTGTGCGATTAATTTTTATGTTTGAAGGATCGTTCATGTAGCTCGTATCGAAGTACGGGAATTCTTGTTGTATATTAAAAGGTAGTTTGTGGACTTGAAGCGGTTTTAAATTATTCATATAGGTATCCGCTTTAACGTTTGGATCAACTTTATTCAGAGATACAGATTCATTCATTGTCTTCAAAGTTATTACTATTGATTGATTGTATAGATGAACCTATATTGAGATCGCAACAATCACATACATATAATATTTCCTATTATTATGATTTTCTGATATACGTATCTATTAAATAAAATTAAAAATTTAAAGTTTTATTTTTTTTTTATTTTTGATTAAACTAAGAGCTATAAACTATAAGTAATAATAAATTAAAAATACTACTTGTTGCGATAATTGCACGAGGTCTTGATAACGGGCTGCACGGTACCGTAGAAGGACTTGAAAAATGCTCTTCGATCTCCATTTGGTATAATAAAATTTGATGAAATCCTTTGTCTCTTGATCCATTTCTCCTTTGATTAAAGGACCCATTTCTTTCCTCACCATGTGTCCTCTGTATGCTAGTAGAATAGATATGTAGATAGTAAACATAAATATAATTTTTTAGAAAAAATATTTTGTCCGTTATTTATTTACCTTTTTGTATCATTACTGCCGCTTCATCTGCCGTAACCGAGCCTTCCTTTTTGATTGACGCTCTCTTCACTGAAACAATACGTATTATTATACTATATCAATTAAACCAGTCGAAACTTCACAGAAAAACTTGTATCTAATAAAAGCCATTGGATGAGTGCAAAAGATCGTTCCCGTTTCTCAATAGAAGAATCATTAGGAGAATTGTATATTATGATAGCGCCATTAATTGTTATATGTATGTATTGCACATCTATAGAAGAGTGGTGACACACTCAATGGTCGTTTGAGCAAAAGATTTGTGTGTTTTGGTTAAAGTTATGTTGTGAAAAAATCACGAACTTTTGCACTCACCTAATATATCATTCATCATCTGCATTATAACGAATAGTCACTTATCCGAATGAGAATTTAGTTACCAATCTCTTTTTTTACGTTGTGGATTTTTGAGGCAATATTTTTGCGCGCTAAGAAAGAACGCATCATACACTGTACTTTTACAATTTTTCTCACTTGTGTCTCATACAAACGTGACAGATATTCTTCATTGTAATACTTGAGGAAAACCTTAGTCTTGCCAATAATCCAGCCTTCCATCTTTAATCTGATCAAAAGTAGTCTGCAGTTATCCTTCGTTATCTCGACTGTCTCGTCAAAGTCGAAAGCTAAAAACTTGTATCTGTAATTAATAACACACACACACACACACACTTTATCGTAATTTATTTTATTCAATTTAAAACGCTACTTTTGCACGGGATGTAAAGCACAAACGCTTTTATATTCAATAATAAGATTCCACAGTTCTAATTAGAGCTCTTTCGTTCTCTTTGAAACATAAGCAGGATTACCTTCGTAGAAATTCCTGGAAAGGTATTCTGTACGGATAACCGCGTTGTCTGGCTTTTGCTGTGTCAAGCACTGCTAATGCTCTTATTTGTTGTCTAACGACTTCGCGATAAAAGCCGTGAGGAATATCGCCGAGATCGGATCGTATGCATCTGATAAAGTGCATACCGCTGCTTCCCGCGCCTATCGCGAGATTTTTCATTATTTCGAGACTCGTTGCTCTGAATGTCAAAGAGCAAGTTCGCATCTTGCGCGTTTGCGAATATTGTCCTCTAGACGCTGTATTGTACTTCTATTGAATGTTAATTATAAAAAGTAAGAACTTATTTACGTAGTATAAAAGCGTATTATTATTTGGAAGAGCGTAGAAAAAAATACAGAAATATGTAATTATAAAAAATTCACTTGTTTGCTTACTCGAGGCTTGGAAGATTCCTGCATAAGAACATTCCACTTCTTTTTCGATGGTTTTTCGGTTGTTACACAATTTTCAATGATTTGAATGGTCAGATTTCCCGATTTAGTTAGTTTGTTAGCAAACATTTCTTTTATTGCATCGTGCGACGAGAGTCTCATCGTGCCGATCATTTCCGGTGGCACAAAGTCTCGATTTTTCGTGGCTATTTCGCTAGCGTCATATATTACCTTGCCAGTGTAATGTGCGATTGCGAACTCGTGCGAACTCACTGGTTTCACGTAAATGTTACGTTTACGCTCTTTGATTCTTTCGAGAATATATTGAGCGTCCTGTAATTGTCGCGAGGCGTCGTCGATGATACGAAAAAGCCCATTCTCTTTATTCATTAGTTGATCGATCGCTTCCTTGTTATCGTAAAACCGTAACCGTCGCGAAGGTATATCTTCCTCTTCTTGTTCTTGCTGAAATACCGTAAAAAACGTACATCCTTTTTAATGATTTCATGTAGATTTTATAACATTGATTAGGCATATTATATGTGTGCGTATACATTATATATGCGTATGTATCAGGATTAATATGTTCCAAGAGAGACATTAACTATTGGAACAATTTTTACCATTTCCCAGGCGAATACTCTTTGATTATAATAATATTGCATTTGCTCGTTCATTGTATTTACTAACAACTGTTCAAATCGATTTATTGAAAAACACTCGAATCCAAAATGATCGAGAATGCTGATAGAATATTTATCGCCACTGAAAATTAGAGCAACATTTAAACAATGATTTTAATAATATATTAACTACTACGCGCACACATGCGCGGACGCACGCAAACTTACAAAAGACTACGAGATAGTGAGAGCTTATGATTAATATTGTTAATTATCCAATCCACCAAACGCTGATAAATAGTATTTGCCAAGACGTCCCGCGCTTCTTCCGCTTCTTCGCAAGTGTGCTTTCTGCGCACTGCCGATCCTTTCACAATCAAGCAATAATTAATAAGAGCCCAGATAAATTTTTTCGAATCTAGACCAAGAAGTTCTGCCACTGTAATTTGAAATACTTAATGAGTTAATCAAGGTATCTTATAAACAATAATTTCAACATATTTGCATTTGAATTCGACATATTGAATTTTTCTTGATCTTAACTTACCTCTGTTAGCGGCTTCGTTACTGTCCAATTCAGCTTCTCCATTATTGCCTTCGACAAATCGAATCTCTCCAATCATTAGAATAGCTGCTAGAATTCTCCAAATAATCTCGCAATGTTCCTCCATATCTAGAAACTTAAGATGTTCCGTAAGTTCCTTGAACTTAGCTGCGTTATTATGAGGATTATTCCTCATTTTGAACGCTCGTTTCTTTTCAACACCTTTGTCAGTTATTCTGAGATAACGAAGCTTTCTTCCACTTGGAAGAGAATACTCCTTTAATTTTCCCGATGTCTCGAAACCGTCATACAAGTAATAAAAGACGTGGAAGTTTGACTGATTTCTGGAAAAGTATCTTCTTATTATATCTTTCAATATATAAGTATTTTGATTCAAAATCGACTTGTTCTATTTTTACTTCTTGTCTTCTCTACCCCGCGTTTCTATTACTAAAAATAGATCATATTCTTTTTTACTTTTTTTTAAGTTATATTTATTATTTTTCTTAACAAAATTTTTCTCCGCATAATTTTATTTCACAAAAAGCTATCAGTATAATATCATATATAATACTGTTTTTTTAAGGAGAATATCATATATAACCTTAATACATTGTATACAATAATGCTTTTTAGAACGCCTACGCAACAGCAACCCGTTTACATCGGAATATAGAATGTCTTTAGTGCGCGTTTACAAGCGGAAAAATTCGGAAATGCTTTTTTTGTGCTTATTAAAGATCTTTAGTTAAATTGTAAACACACTCTCGCGAGATATTATACGTAGTATAAAAAATAATAGCAAATTAAAAAGCTCGAATACACAATCTGAATGTGTATGATTATTTTATTGAAAAGTTATTAAAATTTTTGTCGTTTCGATTCTTAACTCGGACCTTCCTCAAAAAATATCAAATTTGTATAAGCAATTCTAATGTCGTGTTCAAATTAAATCTAATTATTAACCAAATTATTGAATTATCTTTACATTACATAAGTCAAGAAAACGAATTTTATGAAAACTATTTTTAAATAATCACACACCAAGATATTCTATAGTCAAGCTTTTATTGGCCTTTTCAATCTGCTATTTTTCAAAGAAAATTAGAACTACATCCATTACTTGCATCGACTACTCGCAAAAAAGTAATGTAAGTAGGTTACCTATCGCGAGTTGAAACACGCCATTTTTCTAATTGATACAGCCAGAATATCGCACCCGATGCTTTGCCAGTTGAGCCGTAAGTCGTTTGTACTTGAAATATACATCTAGTCGAATTAGTATTTAGTGGCGTTCCTGCGTTGGTAAATGCGTGAATAATTTGTATCGCTCGTAGCACTCTCGTTCCAGTATCGTGCTGACCCTAAAGAGATAAGAAAAATATGACAGAAGTTTCTCGTCGAGTTCCGATAGTATGCTCGATATGCGCGTTGAGCTCACTCTTCCAAGAAACGTAAGATGTTCCACTAAATGTAGCATGTTTGTTGTTTTCCCGGAGTTGCTCTCACCAGCTAGCAAGATGTGCTGCGGTTCTTCGTTGTGCATAACATCCTGATACGCGCTGTCCGCTACGGAATAGATGTGAGGGGCATTATCCGATCGCGATTTGCATTGATATTTATTGTGATGCTGTACGTAAAACCATCCACAGTTAGAATTTCGTGATGCGAGATACTTGGAAATATGCTTTTCAATGGTTAATACATTGTCAGAATAAAACTCACATAAGCGCCATAAATATCGTGCTCCTCATTTGGATTAAGTATCAGCAGAACATCACCGACAAATGTATGATAGTCACCCCGTTGTAGTCTTTCACGAAGTTGATCCAAGATCTCGTCCTCGGATAGTACATCTAAGGCCGCCAAATCCTCTGTAAGCATTTGTTCCGATGGTTCGTTCTGAGTAATCTATCGAACAGATTCAGACTCATTTTTACTTTACCATTTTTATTTACATTTTATATATAAATCGATGTATAATTTTATATCAATTTACATAATTTACCTTCAAAAAGCCTTTACGAACTATCGATTCTGGTTTTCTTTTTTCCTTGCCCTTTTCGGAAACATCCATCGCCAGAGCTTTGATTTCTTGAGTCAACTATAATTTTTTAACTTTTTAGATATTATTAATATAGTGTATTTTATCAGAAAAAACATACAATCACGATTTATTTATAAGTAATCTATTGTAATTTGTTGTTACCACACAACACAATTTTGATAAGAATCCATATCGTATATATAGGAGAATTGTATCTTACTATATAATCGTTTTCGGGTAACTCTGACAAAAAAGGATGCTCGACGATCTCCATCATATACGGTCTGTTCTCTGGATTCTTCACGAGACACCTAAAATAGACGTTAAGTATAATTTTTGCGTGATTTTGTTGATAATGTTTGTTTTTGTAATAAAGAAGGTTTTATATTTGACTGGGGTCTCACGCACTCAGTGATGAAATCATTGAGATTTGCCGACCAGTTGGCGGGCCGGTAAAGAGTTGGCGGTGGATTCCGGACGATCTGAAAGAGTGCGCGCGTCGGGTGCATGCCCTCAAACGGCGCTTTGCCGTCGGCCAATTCTATCGCAGTGATTCCGATCGCCCATACGTCAATCCGACTGTCGTATCCACTGTTGGTTCCGGCGACAACTTCCGGCGCCATCCAACAAGGCGAGCCAATGCAAGTATGCGGTTTCTCAAGCTCGCTTTTCATCGTCTTGGAAAGTCCAAAGTCTATCAACTTTACTTCACCCTCTTTTGTCAAGACGATATTGCTGCCACGGATGTCTCTGTGAATTACGTTGTGCTCGTGCAAATGAATCAAGGCCTAAGATAACAAAAGAAATACATTGACTTCAATAGTGTTACTGTACATAAATATAAATCACTTTTATGAAGACTAGAAAGAAACGATAAACATTTAATGAATTATTGAGACAAAGTAAAAACAACAAATATATAAACATATAAATATTACACTATTATAATATAAAATTAAATATTATAATACTATTGTAATATATATAAATAAAATTGTAATATATATAATATAAAATTATAATATAAATATATAAATATTATTCTAATTAAATTATACTTTCAGTTAAATTATATTCTTGTTGAAAACTTATTATTACGTGTATATATACATATATTGTGTGTGTGTGTGTGTGTATCGAAGGTTTTACTAAAAAAGATAAATATTAAGATCATATATGATAAAAGTTTAATCAATATATGTAATTTTACATATATATTTAATTTGTAAACTTACAAAAATGATGCGTGTATTAAATGCTATGGTATTTCACGTATTATTCTAAGATATTAGATTGAAGTGATCAAAGCTTCGAGAATAATGTGTGCGGGATATTCTTGAAGTATAACGATGCAGAAGAAACATTGGCCACTCGGTATCTCCAGTGTCTTGCGGGAATTGTCTTTATAGATTTACTGCAAATTGAACGATCTATAATTTGCGACCGGCCTCATTCACGACGCATAACAAACGCGGGTCAGTCCCGATATAGCATAAGCATAAAATTATTAATACATATCTGGTTTATCAGTAAAGCTTTAAGGATTATTTTGCATAAAATTTGTTTATCTTCTCTTTTTTGAAGTTTTAATTCATTTTTAATAAAGTTTTTCTTTCTTTCTCTCTTTTTCTCTATGTATACATGACACACACACACACATATGTACACTTATATGTACACATATGTACACTTAAGATTTGTATTTTTGTTTAATTCTTAATTATTAAGATATACAAAGAACATTCCGTGCGCAAGAAATAGTTATAAGAGTAAGAACAAAATTCAAGAAACAACAAATATTAATTGGCAGATAAAAATTAAAAACAAAGATATATAACGATCATACAAAAGAAGTATAAAATGATATTAATCATTCTTCTCTTCTTCTTTGTTCATTTTCTATGCTTTCTTTGTTTTTCTTTCAAGCAGCGAGCTTGCTGTAAACTTTGCAGGCATTTATTTCGCGTGTAATTTGCTGGTATTAAACGTCAGCGTGGTCTGATTTACCGCACGAGTGACCGTGGACGAATTGCTACTGGGCCCGTAGAACACGTATCCGCGAGAAAAAAGGGTGAAGAGAGAGAGAGAGAATCGGTGATAGGAAAAGAAAGAGGAAGACGGGAAATTGCATGCCAAGTTTCCGAGGTGGAGAAGGAACGTGGCGTGGGCAGCAAGAGGCGTTGGAGCCTCAGTGGTGAAGGGCGTTGAATTGTGCGTACACGAGACATACTCAAAAGGTGTATGTGACACACATAATGATTTAGTGACAAACTGCTTGGATCGTAAATATTATCGCCGTGAGCCGTAAGCTATTTGCAAGAGAAAGAATGCCGGACTCATTACACGCATCTCTTTTATCAAGTTCCTTCGAATTTGGAGAGGCAATTGCAAAGTCAGAAGAGAAAATATTCATTATTGACATATTTTATGAGATCCGTTAATAATCTATTAATAATGTTTATACACCCTTTGTTAATAATTTATACACTTTAAAGTAAATAATGAGTAAAAGATAAATTTACTCTTGAGATAGAAAAAAAAAAAAAAAATTATATAACTTAAAAACTAATCTGGATTTAAATAATATAATTATAAATAAAGAACCAAAGGTAACATTACAAATGTAGAAATGCAGCAAGTAAAAGAAAATCATAATAAGAGTAACAATTGAAACGGAAGCGATTTTAGGATTTCATTCTGCGTATATCATTTGCTTTTTTTCGAATCTTTATGTTTTCTTTTATGCACACACACATGACTTGTTTAAGTTAGTTGAGAAATGAGCACGATACTCTCGTCAATTATCCGACCTCTTACTAAGAGAAACCGGAAAAATATCATGTAGGAGAAAATAGTAATATTATTGCAAATAAGCCAATTCATCATTACATCAGTAACTATTGAGCAAATTTATAACAGCTTGTGAAGTAAAAGAAAATCTAGCTCTTTTTTCGTATTTCAATCCGTTTTTTTCTCGGTATTTATTATACTATCTATATTTTCGTTTTTCTCTTGAAACAAATATCTGTCTCAATTTGTACTTTAGCGCGTCATTTGCTTCCAACTAGTTCTGCCATCTATTCTACCAAATCAGAATTTGTTTTTTTCTTAAAACATGTAGAAAAAACAACACAGCTTTGTTTTACGATTACATCGTGAAAAAAGACAATAATTAATGTGGCGGCTTAAATTTATACTGACATTAATTGCATTGTTCATTAATACTAATAACAAGAGCAAAAAACGAATGTTTGTACTGGAAATAAACTTGATGAATTCTCGTCACGTTAATGCCTTGTTACGATAAATAATATAAAATACCAATTTTCAACCAAGTTTGTATTAATTTACTCGCAAATTACGTATTTTCAAATATCATGCTATCTATATACATGATTTTATTTTTATAATAAGATAACAATTAAGCAATTCAAACTTAGAAATGATTTACTAGCCGAAAAATATATTGTTTTTTATTACGTTTATCAAGTTGTGTTTCACACAGCAAAAAATGCGTCTCGCCGCCAATGTCTTGTGCAATCAACGCGGTTAATCTGCCATGAGATAAAAGCGTCTGAGTCAGGACATACCATCGAGCATAATTATATCGTAATAACGCGACTATTGCTGTGGCTACCAACCATTATCATTTCTGTCGGTTCACTGGTGTTCTGCTCTCCTCTTCTCTTCTCCATGCAGGTAATATTTATTATATTTCGTATCATGTAAGAGAGAAAGAGTGGAGGAAGGAAGTAGGGGGAGAGAGAGAGAGAGAGAGAGAGAGATATGAAAAGAGAGGTAGATTGCAGCATAATTTTACCGGACATTTCGTGACGGCCATCTTTCTTGATGCATATTTCTCTTATATTTTTTTCAACATATCCAAGCAACAACTAATTACCTACCTTATAAGGTAAACTTCGCGAACCTAAAGATTCCGATTTTAATGAAATTTTGCACATATGTAAGAAAAAACCGCTACATATATATCAGAAATAGTTTTATCTCTTAGAATTGTTTTTGAGCCGCAACTGAAAAAATTTCTAAATTCATCTGTTCTCCCTGCATGTATGCAAAATTTTTTCAAAATCGGAATCTTCGGATACGCGAGGTTCTCTTCTTGTTTCGAGCTCATCTGTTTTTGGCCAAATATAGTTTTTGCTTAGTTATAACATCAACAATTATTAATCATCTGACGCGAGACGCGTCTCATCTAAAGTATGTCGATAATGTCATATCTTTGTTAATTAATTTTAATTTCTGTTATGTCAGATGTTTCCTAAAAATCTGTATATGTTGAGAACTATTGAGTATCTATCGTTTTTAACTTTCACACATTAACAGTTCAAGCACATATATCATCTAATATATATAAGAATATTTGCAAGAATAAATTTGTTGTATAAGACATATTTTGTTTTTTCTTTTTTTTTAAGTAGTTCTGAACATATAACAGATTAATTTACTTTGATATTTAAAATTTAATAGAAAATAGTAGAATTAAGCTATATTTTACTCATAAAAAAATTATGATAACAAAAATTCTCTCACCTTAATTACTTCCCTTAAGATAAAGCCAATATGTTCCTCTCGCATTCTTCTACCATTTGCGATCATTCCACGGACAAAATCCATGACTGTTCCATCTTCACAAAACTATAATAAAAATGTCACACACACACACAAGTGCGTTTTAACTATATAACTGCCTATATAAAAAATTAATAATATAATAAATTAATTATATTGTTAATTATAGAGATAACTGCAAGCTATATTCAATGCAAATAGAAAAATAGAGCGTCAATAGCGCGCAATTCCAGTCTTCTAATTGTTGTTTTTTACACACTCTAAGGTTAATTCACTCAGCAAGTAAGACTTTCGCGCGTAGTTCATATACATACCTCCAGAAATTAAGAACTGCCGGAAGGACATGCTATAAGTGTAATAAACTTCGTGTATCTACAATTATACGATACGTGCGGTAATCTTGAGCAAACGTGATTCAGTGGTTCATCTTTACTTTGGAATATAATCTCATGTGAACCAACACATTCCTGTTCTATATTCTAGATGATTTTCTGACATGTATTTTTCTAAATCTTTATTTTTCAATAAAAGCAAAAAATAATTGTTAATATAAAATTACAATTATATAAAAACTGTTTCTGTCTTTTAAAAAATAGTTTTGCTTAATTTTATTAGAGTTAGTAACATCTTGATTGTATATACTTATTAGTGTATGTATATATAGCTACCGGATCGATTATTTTAAAAGAAAATCCGTCTCCGTTCATAAGTCACAAAGAGAAAAAATAAAAATCATTAATTTTTAATTGAGACGAGCTAGGATTTAATTAAAAGTTAAAATTCAGCCATAATATATATTTTTATAGCTCAGCGTTACTATTAGCTCGGCTGAACTGCCCGCTTGAGTCACGATTTGCAACGCTGCGCGTACCTATATATTTGGCACAACCGTTCTTCTCGTTTTTTTGTTTTATTGTTTTGGCATGTTCATGTGTCCCTATTGATTCTGTGCGAGACATTGGAAATGCAGGTGGGCAAATAAAAATATAAAGAGCTTCTGTGAATAAAATAGATGCGACAATATGTGATAATACACGATAGATTAACTAATAAATTAACTGGAATTGATTAAAGTACTCGTCTTCAAAGACGCGTGTTTTTTTTGTGACAAATCAGTAATTTTTGAAGTTAATGTAAAAAAAGATAGATGGTAATTTATTGCACAAGAGAAGTCGTGTACATTCTGTAGAAAGTTAATAAAATTCGCGCGATGCAGCTTCCTTCGAGACACGATGCATGTTTCACGCACTACGCTTCGAAAGGCGTAGCCGAGAAAAAAAGAAGCCGATTCCCAAGATAACTCGACCGATCTGTGAGTGTACGTTTGCCTGTTACGTCAACTATCGTTGCGTTATTCAAGATAAGTAATAATATTTCGGGCGCACATCACGGAGGTCCGTCCGTAAATTAGAGCCGCGACCTGCCGGGCCTCACTTGCGTACACAAACGAGTTTAATGAATGTTTAATGGAAGCGCATGTCGTAAATTATTTGTATATTCGACAGTTTCAAATGCTTAAAATTGGCTTCAGGTCTCGGATACACACAGCTATTCTTATTTCTTGCCTTGTTTTTTTCCTCGTTTCTTTCGCTGCTTTTCTCTCGCGTTCTTTCATTCTACATCTCTCTATCCTGTGTGTTTTCTTGTTTCTTAGTTTTCTCTCTTCTTTTTTTTTCTGACGCATTACGAATATATCAACGAAACAAAAGAAAATAAAACATTTAAAACAGCAAATGAATTGAGAATGTAACTTACCTCTATAACGAACCAAATTTCGTCATATTCGGATTTCTTTGCGGATCGTCTGCGATATATTCCATAAAAATCCGGAAGATTTGGATGACCGGCAAAATCACGAAGGATACGATATTCTTCAACGATCAGACACTGCGTTTCCGGTGTAAGCTTTTGGATTTTAACGGCAACCTTTTTATTTCCTGCAATACAATTATTTTGATACACATCCATTCTCTGCGCGTAACTGCTTTGTGGTGTAAATCATAAGTTTTCTTCTGCTTTCATATTTATAGATTTTTATTTACATCGATCTACACAGACATAACATTCATTAGACGTCTACTAGACATTCATAATTCTATATGACGTCTAATAAACATCTAATAGAAGTTTATAAGAAAAACACTTGGAAGTATATGAGATTATTATTCTCTTCTCCCTTCCCGTGTAAAATGACTAGGAAAATTATCGCTGAATGACTGTATGTTAGTTTTATGGTGTATACCAGCTTGCTGATCAATCGCCTCGTAAACATCACCGCATACGCCAAAACCAACGCGATTCTTTAACATATATCTCTTTCCTGGATCCTGAATGCTGTCCAATCGCTGTAGAGTTCCATGTCCTGCGTCCCAATTTCTGCCTTGATTCTCCATTTCTTCTAAATTTTGACTACTACCACGCCAATTATTGCTTGCTTTTTGTCTACCAAACTCATTCATCTTGTAAGTAGGCAATGTTTACAGCCTGAAAGATATCGAAATCAAAATCAAAATTATAGAGTGCCCTACGTAATGATTACAACAAATCAACAAAAGTTCATTATATGCAAGAGGTTTTTTTTTATAAAACTAGAAATTTGAAAACACAAAATTATATGGATTTATATTTTTTTCTGTTTTTTAAAACAAATATTTATTTTAAAAAATGATTATAAATATTCTAACGGTTAATTAGAAATTAACAATATCTGATAAAATTCAATAGACATTGTATAAAAAAGGTTATAGTTGTTATAGAATAATTTCATTGAGCTTTGATAGTTTTTATATAAATGTGTATATGGTTTTTTTTCAGAAAATAAAGTAGGATGTACCTATAGACATAAAATCTTTTTCTTGTGATCGAAGATCAAGACTCTCCGAACATTTTTTGAATATTTTGAAAGACATTAAGATTGGTCACGCACACACACACATACACACACACACTCTCTCTCTCTCTCTCTCACTCTCACTCTTATACTTCGTGAACGAGAGATAATCGTAATAGTTTGCTTTCTAAAAATTTCAACAGGCATTGCCGAAGAATAGAGCAAAGAAAAGATTCTAAAGACAAGATCTATCGACCGCAAACCCGACTTACATTCTTACTTATGTGTTTAACAGTTTTATGTTTTAATTAAATTATACTAAGCCGCGGTGTAACATTTGCACTTTTAATCACATTTTTCTCAAACGATTAAAAAAATGTGTCTCTCAGAATATTTCAGAAATTAGTTTTTTGACTTATTTTTCTTAATCATAAGATAACTAAAACTTTCAATAATTTTTATTATAATATTTTTATTTTGATAAAGTTTCAGAACAAACGTTTTCAATATGACTTATAAGGCTACAGAAATGTAGTAAGTGGATATTTATTTTATTTGTCACGCAGATCACGTGTGAATTACGTAAAACTATTTTAAATATGCAGCATGTTTAAGAAAAAAATAAACTATTTTAAAGAAATTTAGTATATTTCAAAATAAGTAGAAAAGTTTTAATAAACAGTTGAACGAATTGTTTTTGAAATACTTTTATTTTGGAAGGCTTGCATAGACACAGAAAGAAATTATTTCAAGTATGTTCTCTGATAAGATAACATGAAACTGTTTTATTGTTTTTGTATAAAGTACAATAAAAATAAGAATATAAAAAAACAAAAAGTTAAAATAAAAATAAAACCATAAAAATATACAAAAAATACACAAAAGAAAAATGAAAATATTAAAAACAAAAAAAATTAAAATATTTCAATATTCTAAAAACTCATTTGTAGAACCATATTTATTAAGACTTTGACCTATTTTAGAGCACTAAATCCTTTTAAAATATTTTCTTTTTTTGTAAACACATCTTGTGAAAGAAAAACTTCATGCAATAGTTAGTTTTATACAAATGTACTAAAATAAATACTTTAAGAGATAATAGAATAATTATATTTCTTTGTTATATATAAATCTTGTTTATTTAAAAGTATTTTCTTTCTTACTTTATGTTACTTCAACTATTATGTAGATGTCGATAAGCTTTGAAAAAGTTTGCAGGTTTTAATTGCATTCTATATCTTAAATCATGCATGATCAAGGTTTTAAAGATATATATATATATATATATATATATATATATATATATATAGAGAGAGAGAGAGAGAGAGATGTTATATGCGTTAGACGCGTTTTTGTAGAAATGCTAAAAGAATTATTGTACTTTTGCACATGATGTTTAAAAAATATTATTAACAGTCGATTAGTAGTCGTATTATTATTAATAATCGTAGTTTAGTTGATTTATTATCTCATTTATCATCGCGAAGTAAATATTACACACATTTCTGGAAATATGTATACAAAAAATTAATTAGTCATTTTTTAGACACATATATATTTTTGAATTACTACAAAATCGCATGAATCTTTATTTAAAAGTTTTACGTAAGTCAGTCAGCGGCGAATGAGAACCCGTCGTATGAGTGAGAAATGAGTGGAATCACGTCGTTAGCTAATTCATTTATTCCCGGTAGGTCGCGGCGTTTGTCCGGCATAATCTGTCGATTTGTCGGCACGGCGGGTTTCGTGTAATACCGCTTCTTGCCGCTTGTAATAGCGAGTTAGGGAGAAGGAGAGCGACTCGAGCGAGAGGACGGCGCGTCACTAACTATATGCGAACAGCCGTATAAGAAAAGCCACTCTCGCGATCCGGAGGACGTTCACAGTTCCGTTCTGCATCACGTTCACCTTCCTCTTTTTTTCCCTCCGAGCGCCCTTCAGAATCTTTCTCTGTCTCTCCCCGTTATATCTTTGCTTTTCGTCCTGGGTTTGTACTGCGTTCGCCTTTCTCTTTGCGTTGCGCGCACTCGTGCAGGTTTATTGATACGACGGGGCGCTAAATTATCGATGCCCGACTGCACGCCGCAAGGCAACGAAGCAGGGGAAAAGAACGTGAACGAGTATCGTGATTTCAGAAAAAAGCTTTCCGCGTCACTCGGTCCATCACCGGTCTTCCCGCTGCTGCTTCTCGCCTTCTCTTCTCTCGTTCGATTTCTTCTGTGGATTAAACGCGCGGCCACAGAGTGGACTCATGCACGTGTTCTTTAAAAGGAAGGAAGAATCACAAAAGTCAACGAAACATGCGTTGTGAGAAAGTTTTACGCAATATGTACGAGGAACCACGGCGAAATATGTGCTTTAATAGGATTGAAAGATAGAAGAAATTTATATGTGTATATTTTAGATAGATTTTAGATTTTTCTCAGACTTGATTTCTTTTCTTGAAAGAGAGAACTTGTCTGCGAACGTTTGCCTTTCGTTTACACGGCAAAACAGTTAGCGGAGAATAAGTAAATCACGAGTTTGAGAAATCATTGGCTAAACTGTATTTTTTGAAAAGGTGCATTATTGTTACCATTAGTAGTTTTAATTTTTGTAGATAAAAAAAATATACATATAAAAAATATATATACACACATATATATTTATTTAACTTGATATTATGTATACGTAATCAAATTGATCAAATAATCATGAATTTTTCAGTCAGCATATTAAGATAATATTTTAGGAATTAAATTGAATCACACTGTTGAAGAGAACGGTTGATATTGCAAGTGATATAGATTCGAAGAGAAATGGTTACAGCTGCTTGACAATCGCGATTTATTTCCCATGTGATCAATATTACATTCAAGATACGTACAGAAATCGCCAGGTCTTCCGGCATATGTTTCTACGAAATTACGGAGGAGGGAAGATATTGGACCACGTTCCGTGCGTTCGCTTCCCGAAAAAGTAACTGTGGGAAAGTTGATATCTGTTTGGTCTAGAGTACGGCCGACGGAATGTTAGCACCGCAAATCCTTGAAAAGAAACGACAACGGTAATAGTGACAGAAGAAAAAAGAAGAGAGAGAGGAGGATAAGAAGACCGAAAGCGAGAGTCGTCGGGTTTGACCGGACCTGGGACCAGTTGAAAAGGGTTCGACACTCCTTCCGTCGGAAAGTACCACCGTGAGTCGCTGACAAGTGGCTCGCTTGCGTTTCTCATGTGCTCTCATAATAAGAACGATGCACTTACACAACAAGAGAAATGTCAGTTTATTTCTCTCTCGGTTTCTTCTTGTGATTAATTATTACTTGATTATTACTATAGCAATACTGAAATACTTTTGCAATATCGTGATTTACATGTGAGAATAATGCAAAATAAGTTATAATTTATAATTACTATATTTTCTGATCTTAAAACTTTTATTTGTCTAAAGAATAGACTTTATGATGGATAAGATTTTGAAATTTATTATTTATTAGAAAAGAAAAGTACGTTATTTCTGTAATATCTCGATATTAAAGCAAAATGCATGATTTGTAAGTTTCTAGATTTTCTTTTTCTTCTGTCTATCAATTTTTCTCTTTGTTAATTTATCTGTTTCGTTCTCGGCGTTTGCAACGAAAGAATCGACTTGCACAGATCGTGTCTTTCCGCATGCTGGCTCGGACTACTCACCGGCGTAGATGCGCATGTATCTCAAAGGACACCTTATGCAAGTCCTTTCTTGCTTCTCGCCTTATCCCTTTTACAGATTACCCAGAGATCGATGCTTTCGGCAGATAAGCGTCAACCTGTTTGTAGATTCCGCCTGAGGTGTCGCAGTTCTCGCGTTCTCGTCTTGAAAAGATTGCGCGACGACTGTACGTTATTTCCGCCAGCGGATTAATTAATACAGAGAATCTGATCGCTTGGTTTTCTCTTCGTTGAAGCTCATGCAACATTTAAGCACTTCTCTGGATATTTTTTACAGTTTGCGCGTGAGACCTTATCTCTCAACAGTTCTCGCTTTTCTCTTCCTTATTTCATTTTCTCGGTTTGTTGTTTCATCAATGTCGATAATTCAGAAATGTTGATATACGACTAATATATGTTTCTTCTTATATTGTTTCAAAATAGATAATAGACGAACAGTTTTATATCGCATAATTATTTTACATAATATCTCTCTCTCTCTCTCTCTCTCTCTCTCTCTCTCTCTTTCTGAGATAGTTAGAATATAATTTCCTAGGTTATGTAAAACAAACTTTTGCTCAACTTTGATAAAACCCAGATTATTATGAGATTTGCCAGATATGTCAGTACAATTAATCGTCAATGCAATTAATTTTTTGCTGTATATCATGATTAAGGACATTACTGTCTAATATTTCTTCAAATTAAAATATCGTGATATTATCATTTTTAAGCTTTCTTTTTTAAGGCAAGCATGTTATAAATATCCCTTATAAAATTTGCAGCATACTTTGTCAGCTTAAATTTATATGAAAAATTACTGCTACAGCAATTCAGAATAAATTTGTAAGATTGCATTTATCTATTCTCATCTGGATTATTGTTTATGCTTTTACAATGATTCAACACTAGTTATGATTGTAGAACATGTCTTATATGATCTGCATCTTATACATGCAGTGTTTTTGACATATTAATCTTTCTTTCATAAAGCTTTTTACTTTTGTAATAAGCTTAAAGCAGATGGCTGAAGATAATTTTATCATGTCTCTTTATCTTTATATTGAGAGTTATGAACGTTCTTTTGTCATCTGCTCTGCCATCAATATCTGGAATACCATTTCTTCTAATCTAATAATCGAGTTAGAAACGACAAAAGTTTTCAGAGCTGTGTTTTCCAGATACTCGCTGGATAGTGACAACGCTTAATTTTTTCTGTTAATTTCTATTTCTGTTTAATCGTTTCGATTTTGATTTTGTATTTCTATTGATTTTTAGTTTACCTTTTTATTAATTTTGTTCAAGTTTTCTGTATTTTTTTAAATTTATGTTTTATGTATGTTTTTTAATTTTGTAATTACTAAAGTTTTCTTTTATGTATTTTTGTTGTGTAAATATATATGTATATATTTTTTAATTCTTTTTTTGCGTTTAAGGGAATCTCAAAGCGCTGAATAAATAATGTTTCTATCTATCTCTTAAAATATGATTTCTTGTTGTTCTTACACAGTTAACACAATTAGGAACTTTACACTTACAATAATTCAAAGGCTGTAAAATATATTATCTCGTATTATCGTATACGTTTACGCTAACATTTATGGTTGCTAATTATTTTAAATTCTATTTAATTTATTTTCTTACATTTTAGCAATTTAAACTAGAGATATAACAATGGCGCGCGCGCGTACACACATGTATATGTATATATGCATATGTATATTGATATATATTTATATATTGGATAAATGCACGATAAATATATTTACTATCTGTTGCTTTTAATCAACGCGATGGTTTTCTTTTGTTTGAGAGTAAAAAGAGTAAAAGAAAATTACCTATGTTATAAATAGTCCGGTAAACTCAATCTTGACACATTTGTTTTCTTTTCAAGTACCGATTGCACTCTCGCGCGTGTTATTCTCCGTCGTCACACTATCGCCATTTCTCAGCTTTGTTATTTCTCGACTTTCTTCACGCTGTCTTCTGACCGTAAGCCGTGGAGACGATGAAAAGAAACTTTGCGAAGGAAGCGTGAGAATTATATATACTTACACGAAGGGTACACCACTCTAAGTTGTCCCGCGCGCGACAGAACTCACCTCTTAATTAAAACGCGTCTGGTAGATCGTGCAGACCCCGCGGCGTCCACCCTTACAGTGCCAGTACGGCCTAAGTGTATCACGACGCGTCCGTGTGGGTTGGCAGTGAGGTTTACTCGACGAGGGATGTGAGCGCAATGGTTGGCTTCTATGATCCAATAATGTCGACTTAATTAACTAACTGCTAACTCCGAACAAGCCTGTTAGCTCATTGATTTCACTCGCTAGACTGCCGTCCAGCCAGAAACTCTCAAACAGTCGTCTAACTCTCCTTCGCGTCATTTCTCTTCTCTAGAAATTCATATTCTCACTTCCTTCTCCTCCTCTCTCTTCCTCTTTTGCCGTTTGTCGTTATAAGGATTATTTTAAGTCCGATCGAGAGAACCGTCAGTGCTATACGGATAGTCTTTAATTCTCTTTTCGTTCGGCTTCCTTTTCAAATTGCTTATCCGGATCCCGGAATCCTCTTATTAATAAGTTCACTGAGTTTCCAGCGCTTTCGCTTATCGCCAGACACCGTAATCTTCACTCATAGAGTGTAAAAGAAAATGATCATCTCACGAAATCTAGTTATTAAAAAATAATTATATCATTTATTTATTTCATGCTTGTAATTTGTTTATTTTATAATTTTTATATTTCGTTGAATTAACAATGCTTTGATGTAAATGTTAAAGTCATATGGAAAAGCGAAAAGACAAAATATAAATATTATATCACTCAGGAAGAGTGATATAATATTTCTTTCCTATTGTAAATAGTTTTTTTATGTATTATACAATAAAAAAGATATATATAATTAACTTGCAATTTTATTAAAAAAATAAAATATAGTTACTTCTCTCTCTCTCTCTCTCTCTCTCTCTCTCTCTCTCTCTCTCTCTTTCTCTACTTTTCACACAGTAGTAAAATATTAAACATTTTCTATTAAATAATGTTTTATTTGATTTTAACAAAATAACGTGTTTATTATTTTCTATAATAATATGCATAGTCAAAACGTATATTATTCGTATACACTGCGTAATCTTTTGCATGTACAATAAACTGAAGAAAGTAGACAAAAGAAGAATAAATAAGAGAAATAATCACGTTCGCGTACGCTCGCATTTAGTCTCGTTCTTTAGATCAATGCAACTCGGAAAAAGATCTCTCAAGAGGAGGCGGACGCGCGCGCGATAAATTAATGCGCTTTATCGTGGTTTCTTCGTCGTTCTGGCCGCTATGCCACTGCCGTCAAAAGAAGCCGCTCGCCGTTTGCAGGACCGTGCCGTCCTTAATGCGGATGTGCATCTTGCAACTCCTTCTTGTTTCACAAGTACTTTCTTGGATTTTTCGTCCTTTTACCTCGAGCACTTTGTTGCGCATTCAAAGTTTTTACGAGCTAATGTTAGCAAAAGCTTGTAAAAAAACAATTAGTTTTTTTTTGCTTATACAGTAAAAAAAACTTAATTACAGTTTTTCCACAATTTTGGCAGTCAATGACTGAGTATTTGAACATATAGCTTCTGCCGATTTCAAGTCATGAATTTGCATCGTATGAACAATAATGAATATTAGTATTTTGATGCAGTAACTTATCTGCTAAATTGAAAAAAATGTATAGGGAATGTGTGTAGGAAATTTTTTCTATATAAAAACAATATGTGAAAAAAAAACACATCAAAGGATATTCAAGTTGAACAGCGACATAATTTTTAATTAAAAAATTATTTTATGTGTGTGTGTGTGTGTGTGTGTGTGTGTGTGTGTGTGTGTGTGTGTGTGTGAGCCACAATAAAATTAAAATCAAAGTGTAAATTGAAGATATATTGTAGAAAATTAATCATGATGAGGATTTATTCCGATAATCACTAGCTCGTGTTTACAAGTCATCTCTGTGCCGATCACATACGTATCGCGCGAATCGCGGTACTTTATCTCTGATCATCTTGCGTCGTTTATTTCATACAAAATCAATAAGTTCCTTCTCTCAATGTATTTTACCGCATTGAGAATCACTACGTTGTCTTTTCCTTCTTTTTTTATTTGTGGTCTTTTACAGATAACTGAGATACAGATACCTGCTATCCTCTGCTTCTCTTCTGGTTTTTCCATATCTTTGTGTATCTTTCTGTCGATTGTCGAAACAAAAGAATTACCATACAATGAAGCTTGTACAAGTGATTATTGGCTTGTATTAAAGAACGACACTCATGCAGTATTGACATATCTATGTTCACTTATGTTTTCCACAAAAGATAGAAGTACTTCATAGCTGGGTTTTACTTTTTTTAGGAACAATTATACATATGTGTGACTATTGCGCATCAGAAATCAAGATTACTAAACGTCAATTTAACCGATAAATTTGAAAAGAATCATTGTTAAGTAATGTTGTGCAGCAATATTATAGCTATAGTAGTGCAGGAGTATATTATCTAGACACAAGTAATATTATAGGAATGACGTAATAAAACAATTAGCCTTGATTGTTGAAAAACTCGGCACAGCTTAGTTCAAATACAATTTTTTCTCGGCAAAGATGGAATTAGCATGGATCATTTTTTCAAAGTTTTAATAGTAATTTATAACAAATCAATAAAAAAGAAAATTGTAAATTTTTTTATAAATTAGAACAAAAAACAAATTTTGCAAAGTGTTTATATTATACAATAGATAAGGATAATATAATAGATAAGGGAATAAGAACGTGTGTAGGATTAATCTAAATAATAATTTAATAAAATGTTTGAAGACAAATAACTGATATTGTTTGTGAAGGAACTCTCTTTATTGTACGCGAATTATTAAGTTGTGTACAATTATGTCCACCGAATAGAGGACACATATTTTTCGTCTAATAATACTGTGCTGGAAGAGAAAGGTGTCTTACGGCTTATATAAAAGTTAAAATATCAATTAAATATCAATTAAATAAAGCGTTATAAATAAATTAGGTTATTATTGCTTTGTCTATAAATTAGTTTCTAGTATTCACACACGCTATGGTTCGCGCTAATTCTCTCCTGATATGAGTGGATTTCTGCAATTGATTCATATTTCTCTCATACGTTCAGTCGGAGTACAAAAATCGGATTTTACTAATAAAGATTATTACATTTCAGTATCTCTTTGCGAAGAAAAAAAGAGAGAGAGAAAGAGATTCAAAGGTAGCAGAGCGATCTGTTTTATAATCACACGTTCTCCAGGATCATTCAGGAAAAATTGTTTGTGTTTAGTAATACCAATAAGAACCATTCTATCAATTTTCTGTCTCATATTGGCAATCGATAAGCTTAATAACACGATATTAATTTTTACACATTTTATATAAGGGATTCTCGCGTGCAAATATGAAATTTCCAATTTCTTTTCTTTTTTCTTTCAGTCGATCGGTTTTTGTTATTATTTTTGACTTAATAGTAAAATAAAAAAGACCGCCTTGATTTCTATCAGTTTTTTGAGACTTTTATCTTTTATTTTTCTACTCTTCTGTTTTTCTCCGCCAAAGTTCCGTCTCACTTGCAAACCGTGATCCACTCTTCTACCGTGCAATTATGACAGTGCACTACGCAGCACCAATGGAATTTGCACATGCACCGCTCCGTTCGTCGTTGTCGCACAACATTATAACCTCTGCCGCAGCACAAACTGGAGCATCCGTCTCCACCTGTGCTAGTCTTGTTGCATCTGCGACCGGTCGTGCCGGCTACGTCAATCTCCGGATCACGTTCGCAGAAATTGGGCGATTTCTGGTAGTAGAACAACTGCTTGGCAAGATTCCGTGGTTTTTTTTTACGATCAAGATTGCCGCGATGTTTCTTTTTCTGTCGATCGGGTCGTCTCCGACGCTGTCCCCGAATTTTATTTGGTATCACATCTCCTTTGATATTGTTCTGCGTTACCAATACAGCGTTTCTGAAACGGTTCTTGAGGGTTTTGCCGACTACCCGAAAGTCCGGTGTGACTTTCCAGCAGGTCTTCAGCTCGCACGAACCGGACATTCCGTGGCACTTGCAGCGTACTTGCATGTTGCTGGCTACTGCCTGTAATAATTAAGTAAATATGAATTTATAAACATAATGTAACGTAAAATCGAAAGTTTAAAAATACAACGTTTATACATGTATTCTTCATTTTATTTTCTGCTGAATACAACTAAAATATATAGCTTTGCGTTTCAGTAAACTGAAAAAGATCTCGTAGGTGAACTGACAATACTGAGCGACAAAATCACAAAAAATCACCTCGGTTGACTTTGTACAAAACGGTCGACCGACTTTTTCATTTACATCTGTCACGGCCGGGTCTCTTTTTCGCTGTAGCTTTCGGTTCGACGGACGAGGCGAACGTAATCGAATCGTTCCTTTAGATTGCGCGATGTCCACGGTGTTGCAAAGTTGGCTGAAAAACGCCGGTTCTAACACGGTGTACAAACAGCTGCTCGGATGCGCAGAGCGCGCAAAGTAGTCAAGAAGGCAAAGAAAAGGAGGGAGAAGGAAGAAGGGCCCAGTTTCTTTTAAACAAAGAGGTGTCGCGTACAAAACAGTTAATGAGTCTACGGCTGGGTGGTCCAGCCTGGGGCTACGTCTTAATAATGTCGAGGCGAGAGAGCGAACATGGAGAGGTCGATGGAAGAAGAGGAGGAGTCTTTTCTCTCCCTCCCTCCCTCCCTCTCTCTCTCTCTCTCTCTCTTTTTGTCTATCTTCTTCTGTTTCTCTTTCTTATCTATTTCCTCTCTTTTTCTATCACAGGAGGGAAGAAAGAAGAGCTAAAAAGTAAAAGAGCCGTCGAAAAGTCGGAAGAAAGGACGAAGAGAGAGAAGAATCGCGCTCAAAAAGAACTCGAAGGAACTTCTCACGGATCCACGTACGATGGCGTGCGCGCTATATTATTCGCGGGTGGACACGGCACGCGATTGCGAAGTCGCTTCCTCTCGAGATTCCCCGTTGATCGTTTAACGGTACGTTTCTTGCGCACGACTGCTTTAAATGGCGCATCATTTATCGTGGGGATACTATGTGTTTGTGTACACGGAAGTCTCCATAAAAAGACGATATTTTGTATGCTTGTAGTATAAAATGCGTACGTTTTCTTCATTGATAGAATTGTACAATATTTATGCATATATATGATTTACGTCCAAAAAAACGAATAACAAGTATAGAATGAGCAAACTTAACATGAGTTACAAAAGTTGCAAAAGCGGTTCTTACCAAACGACCAGCTTGATTATTATGTAGAATCACTGTAGACTGTATGTCGCCAACTTCTTCCCGCGGGTCTAGGAACTGTTTCGAGAATTCTATGCCGTAGTCAAGATTGTGAGAACAGCCACCCCATTTCCATTGTACGCCTCTGGCACTCGCTGGGATTTTACCTTTATAGCTAGACGGATCGCAGCTACAAGAGATCAAGCGACCCATACTACAGGCACGAGCTACGTTGTGAGCCACGCCAGCTGCCGAAATCGCGTAGGCAAATGCTGTCTCCCTATATCCTGTAACAAAACGTGATTGAGATAATCGGCCGATTTTACTTACCTTTTGTCGCCTTATATTTTGACGAAGGCGTATTAGCTCTTTTTTATGTGATTGATCTATTAAATGTCGTCTTCATACACAAAACTTTATAGTTTTTAATTGTGTAGAATGATCGGCCAATAGGAACCAGATGCAGGGCGTTATTTGCAAAGATATAGTTGAATTTTTGTGTCGAAACGTTTCAACTTTTATTTAAGTCATCTTCAGTCGACAATTCAAGTGAAAAAAAATAACACTTCAACGATATACAAAATTAGACAGAGTAAATACAATGTACAGATAGATGTGTCATGCTGAGAGAGTGAACAAGAACTTCTTGTAAATAGTTCTTGTGGCCGATCATTCTACACAATTATTTTTATATAAAGAACCCGAGGACGTCCCTCATATACACAAATTTATAGTTTTTGTTATTATAGTCTTCTAAAAATATAATTTTATTGCTTAATAAATTCTATATTATGCTTTGTTTCTCAGCAAATACACTAGGAGTGTGTATTAAGTATTCTTTTCCCATCGCAAGCAAAGGAAAAAAACATATCGGAATACAATAATAGAATTACAGGATTGTCAGATATATTTGTAAGTGGTCACGATATATATATATCGTCAAAACACGATATATATATATATCGAGACACTAAAAGAAAACACTTGCGTTCCGCAGTTGTCTTCGTTAGCAAATTGCTGCTCGTGGTCGGTGACGAACACGACATTGGATAATGCAAGATAATATATGCACGATAACGCATTTGCTTCTTTCTGTTCGCGCATAAGGACAGAGATCATGAAACAGCGAGACACCGCAGCAGTCGAGCTTCCGTAGAAGGAACTTCGGTAGCAAGTTCGGGACAACGGAACAAGACGATGAGCAGACAGACAAACAGACAGCCAGCCATCAGGCGCGGTTCAGTAGTAGATTATTCAGCGGTCCGTCAAAACAAAGCGCGGGCATCAGCAGCGACGGCCGGCAGGCATCCGCATGTATAAACGATTTCTCGCGACGGGGTGTCTGAAACAATGTAATGCCAAACTCCGTGCGCGCAACAGGCCAAATCGCGATCAATTTCTCGCCCGATTTCACATGAAAATCGCGTTGCAAAGCATATTTTTGTTTTAACAGTAACAGCTAAACAAGTTTAGAGTAATAGATTGTGCCAACTTGAAAAGAATTTAATGTTTTCTCCGTATGTGTAATATCTATCAATAACTTCATTGAAAACTTAATAATAGATTTGTAATAAAATTTATCTGAAAACAAGGCGATAAGGATAACAGCAATAACAAAAAATCTTTTTAACCACTAGATTAGATCTAGAAGTAGATCAGTCGCAACAAAATGGGTCCGTTTATTTGTTGTTTGAGTAAAGACGTAAGGATAGCTCGCAGCTGATTGCGTCGATCGCACGGAACTCGACAACGTTAAAGAATCTCCTCAGTAAATGTCGAAAATTGTCTCCGGATCAGAGAATTTCTCCGAAATCTTCCAGGTTGATAGAAATATTGGAAATGATTGAACCAGAATGATGACCACCAATTTTAAACGCGTATGCACTATCAGACTCGATATTGTGTCTCGGCGCCAAGACTGTTAACGTCTACATCGAAAAGCGCACGTCTACTTAGTAAACCGTGACCGAATTCGAAAGATACAACAGGAAGAAGAGATTCTTTATATAGCCGGTAGAAGGGGTTGGTTGTAAGCTTTTGCTATATACGACTATTGGTAGCAAAGCAACTGTTTTTTGATGCAGATAACTGTGCCGCGAAACCATCGCTGTTTCTCGACAACGAAAGGGACGGAGAAAACGTGTAATAAATCTTCTGCGAGAAGTTATACATCTCTCCTCTCAAGGACAGTTCGAGGAGAATCCGAAAAGGACGGTAGAAAAGAATTCTGAGAGAAACGCATAGTGCGATCTCTGTCTCTTTGCAGCTTGGCGCAGCGACGTAGTGACGAATAGTGCCCTACGCTATTCCCGCGTGTCAAAAGCTCAAATCACTATTTAGATTACTCAATAGATAGCACTTGCGCGAGAGAAGTCTCACGTTCTTCGAGAACGGGTAGTTCAAAGATAAAACAAGTTCAATGAGTTCGATTGTTCAATTAACTATTGTTTCCCTTAGTTTTGTTCTTATTTTCTATAATTTATTACTTTCTATGATAATTATAGACTTTGTTTTCTATAGTATTTATTATTTTCCATAATTAAATTCTATAATTAATACAGAAGGTTAATTGATACAACCAGTTTTTATGAACATCTTCGACGTTTAAATAACGTCGACTTCTAACAAGGTCTATCACGTCGTTATTTTTATGAAATCTTTGATGTCAGAATCTAAGAGTGAAAAAATTACCTGAGTCATTTAAAAATAAAACAGAACATTTATATATATATATATATATATATGTATATATATATAGGTGTTTCCATATTTATAACTATAAATCCTGTCATAGTGCAGTGTCAAAGGCGGCCGTTACGAGAGAGCGCGACAGCGGACTCCGGTCTTCTTGTGTGGGCCTTGCGCACCGGTCGAAGCGGCCAAAGATCGGTTCCGTGTACTTTTCATAATACATTAAGTCGTTTTGCTGAAGTCCAACAAAATCGTGACGATAGGCGAGAGAGAATGAGATAGGGGAGGAAAGGGGGAAGCAGGGAGCAACGAGAGGGCAAAGAGGACCGTGTCCGAGCGACTTAACTATGAACGACTCTTCTCGAGAAGCCGGGTCCGAATTCGATACGGTAGATTTCTCAAACGCGGTCTTCAGACCGTCTCTCTCTCCCTTTCTTTCTCTTTCTCTTCACCTGGAGCCTATCAATATCTTTAAAAAAGAAACGCTTACGGAGATGGTGCGTTTCTCAAAAGCTTACTGCCATTTGATTCTTGAAAAACGAAAATCTAATAATGACCAAGTGATTGTTGTGTTAATATTATAGGTAAGCAACGAGTCACTTTTTTGCACATCTGATCCTTTTATCACAACAAGTACAAGAAAGTTTTGAATGAAAGGCGACGTGATTAAAAACAGACTCAAAAATTTTATTCTTGCGTCAACACGGAATTATTTGCTGCAAAACTTAATTTTCTTTATCAAAACACATTACATTTGAAAATAAATAAAATAAGAACAATGTGGTAGAAACGAAAAGAAAATGATTTTGCTAACTGCGAGAAATGATGTTGAAGAGTATTATAATAATTTCTTAAAATTTTTCTCTCGTTAGAATTCTACGATTGGTCAGACGGGTCGCTTTACATAACTTTCGAAAAAGTCGTAGAATCGACACCTCCTCCTGTCTCGCAAACAAGAAAAGACGTACCGATTCACAGGCAGATAACGAAGAGCTGAACGGGAAGTTGATTTCTGAGTCTCTCTCTCTCTCTCTCTCTCTCTCTCTCTCTCTCTCTTTCTCTCTCTCTCTCTTTCTTTTTTTTCCGCGGACGAACTTAAGCTTTCAGGTCAGGTGCGCTCGATGTCGCGCATTCGCCCGACACAATATATGTTTCCTCTTTCGGCGCACGTACGCGCTACGACGAATTTATATGTCACACCGGAATAGGCTGGCGGCCGTGAGTCTTCTTATGGAACTGGGACAGGTTTTCGGGGTCCGTCGCGAGTAGCTTACGCTTTGATTTAAGGAAATGTCTCGTCTCGCCTCAACCGTCCCCGTCAACGACGTCGTAAAAGACATATTCGTGTTCTCTGAGAAACTTGAATATAGCAATTACGTGATGAAGAATCATCGAGAACTTTTGTTCATGGATGCGAAATATCGCAGAGTATAAATTTCCGATTAACAATTTCCGGTTTGCATGTGGTTTGCATATTTTGCTTTTTAAACATAACATATATACATTAACATATATAGTAGAGTAGTTGAAAAAAATATTATATTTGCTACATTATATCATATATATTTATAAAATAATAACATTTTTATTTGATATATGCCTAACGTAAGATAGTAACAAAAATATAGTTTTGTAATGTAACAGACACGTCGTAGATTTTTGAAAATGTGTGTGACACAATATATAAAAAACCTCTCTTCCAAAAGTATATCTTTTTCTCTTTATTGTTTTTCATATTATTTTATTAGAGTTATTTTATCAGTTATTTTAGTTATCTAATCGAGTCTTACATTTTCCATTTGATCATATTTATAGCGCAGTTGTGTTTATTTAAATTGAGACTAATTTAATAATTTAGAAAAAAAATTTCAGTTTGTCATCAGCGGATCAACGGATTGTTAATCACGAGTTCAGAAACTAATCAAATTTTGATCGTTAAGAGAATTACGTATTTTTCGTACCTCGTTGAAGAAGAACACTGTTTTGCTGAAGTCTATTTCGGAGAGTAATGGACGAACAGTTCCATCTATGCCACGTGAACTGATATTGGCACTCAGATATAGCCATTTGTAACCCTTTAACTGCAGCCATGGTAGCATCGGGATTTATATAGCAAAGCTCGCGTTTCTCCTTCGACAATCCTGGAATGCCGCCACAGGTGATGTCATTGCCATTCATCCAATTATCTACGGAGTTGCTCATCAGACAAGTTGCGCTGAAAAAAGTTGTAAACTAACAATTTATATATGTCGCCTATTTTTTCAATCATCATAAGCGGAGTTACTATTAAACTATTATATGGTGTAACAACTAAACGTGTATAAATTGAGGCCATGATTTTTTTTCTATCCAGATTAAATAATCTAAAAAAATATATATTTGATAACAAGTGCAAAATCAAATTTGATTTAAATCGTAAAGATTTGCTTGCTCTTGCTGGTTGCGAACAACGTACTATTAGTTTAGCGTGTGTCGAGTGTGATTAGTGAGGACGTGTGGAAGCATAAAAAGATTGGTCAAGCTTGCCACCTGGTTAAACTCGTGAAACTAATTATCATTGAGTTCGTCGCGCGAGTAACGGTGCGCAAGTAATTGTATTACGATCATCGATAGCATTAAACTACTAGAAACTTAACAAATGATTAAAAATTTACATTCTTCATTTTTAAAAATAGCATTCAAGCCATTTAAACCACGTTAGTGTCATTTTTATATTAAATTTTTTATATTATATTTTTTATCGTTTTTATATCGACGTGGATTTCTCAGTTCATCAGGATTATAAAGCAGCCTGATACAAAAAAGTCAAATATCAAGTGTCACAATCAAGTTTTTTATTTTTTTATTTTATATCTTTTTTTAACAGTAGCACCGATGCATTAAAGACAAATACATACATTTAATTAGCAGTTAAATAAATGAAAACTTATAAATTTATTTTTACGTAGTATTTTTAAAACTTTCTTTTCTGTGCTAATTTTATAATAAAAATTCACAGAAATATCAAATATTCCAAAAGTCGTGCGCATCTCGGAATTTATACTGATACAGCATTATCAATCGTGACAGGCTAGTGCACTGATTTTACAATCGCGCGCGGGCGGCTGAACCTTTCGCGCACGCGTGCAACGCGCACAAGCATCCGTTTTTCTTCGGCTTTACGAGGCTGAGGGTCAAGAGGTGCGAACGCTCTCAAAAGAACTGATAAAACCATTTCTGTCTCGTCGCGTCTGTTTCTGCCATTGCGCACCCTGTGAGAGAAGGGGAGATGGTAAAAGAGAAAACTCAACTTCCCCGTCTCCCTTTGTATTTTGGCATTCGTTCCCTGCTTAGTCGCGATAACGGCATCCATCTCTTAAGAAAAAGAGGAGCTCTTAAAGCGCTATCTTAAGCGACGGCTGCTGCCTAATGGCCGCATATTACAGCGTACCGGGCGTTAATTAATTTTGAGGTGGAAGAAAAGAAATAGCAGACGCAAGCGTACGTGTTATATGTACAATCTGGATCGCATGCATCCAAGAACGCAAACGAGAACGAAAACGAAAGAAGTTTGATTGGTGCTGTGAAACAACAGAATCTTAAAATTTTTTATATCACACCGTTAATTTTTTATATTCTTTTTATTATTCGTCAGATATATTTATATACTTGATATCTAGTATTACGTAGATGCACGCTGTGTTGCAAAGGATAGATCCTTTGTTAAAACCCATAACTTCTTTTCTATAACATTCTTTAAAAAAGTTTAAAAAAATTAAGCGTTCTTTCAGATTATAAAAAACTAAATTAATTATTAATTAATCAAAAACAAAATAAAAATAAATTAATTTTATGAAAAGTTATGTAAGTTGTTAACATGTAAACATATGGTCAAAGCTTCTTATCAATAATCACAGAACTTGTAAGATGGTCAGCGCAACGCAAAAAAATCGCCGTGGTATTCTATACAATCATTAATCTTTTCGCAGCGCCTCTCTCTCACTCTCTCTTTCTTTCTCTCTTTCGATGGTTTATTTTTTCATTGGCGCGGCTTTTGGAGAAATTGTAAGGCTCTGCAAGATGTCACAGGCAGATACAAGGCTTTTCGTGGATCGCTTGGTTATCTGTGGGGACAAATTAGCGGACGAGCTTCTTCTAAAGTAAAAGTTGTGTATAGCACCCGCGTGAACGAAGAAACAGGAGCAAGACGAAGAAATTGGCGACAACGAACGAGGATAAAAGAAGAGTCTCGGGTAGAATGGTTAATAATAAGAAGAAAAGAGGAAAAGTTCCGGGGATGATACTACTACATAGTGTGAGAAAGAACGACGAAGAAGAAGAAAACTATACGGAGAGAAGATGAGGATCGCGAAAGTTATTGAGAGCTCCCATTACCGGTACATCGTTGCACCGCTGCTATCTTTCGCGCTATTGATGATCTACCGAAAGCAGATTAATGATCTTAACTCTCTCAACAAATTGTTGAAGGCACCGCGTACCTGCGGAGGAAGTCGGATTGTATCAACAGATTTCTCTTGCTAACATCTTGTCTCAACTTCTTTGCATGTGCGTGTGTCTCAATTTGCAATTAAGAAACAAGTTAGATACAAAAACATTAATTAGAACGCGCAAAAATTTGTTACATTTTTTTATGTAATTTGTTTCTTTTAATTAGAAATAATACTTTAACTTTTAACATATGTATTGCATGTATATATATATATATATATGTTACTATTTTTTCTATGTATGTATCTTTTATGTATATATAATTTAATTAAAAACCTGATGCTACTTTGACTAAAATAGTAGATCACTTATTTCACGCGAAAGTAAAAACCAATTAATCGTTTTCTAATTTGTTAATTCTAGAATCTCTAGGCAAGCAAAATATAACATTGCATTACTAATTAAAAGATAAATAGAATTATATTTTTTAAGAGAGAAATTTAAATTGTGAGTAAACAACCTACGTATATTATATGGATATTCAAATTAGAAATTAAAATAAATAAAAACAATAAAAATATATATTTTATTGCACGAGCAATTAGTGCATTGCTCTTTTAATAGTATGTAAATTCTGTTTCGTTTTGATCGTATTCGATTTCACGAGAACCGTAGGGCAAATCCGATACGAGATACGCAAGCAGATATACAACATTTTTGCAATAATCCAAGGGGTCACAAAAGAATCCAAGATGGCAACGACGCGGAGATGTGCACGTGTTTTATTTAATCCTCTCTCTCTCCCTTTCTTTCTATTTTGCTCACAAAGATGAAAGAGAAACACGGTTTGGAATTTCGCGTCTAATGAGATATATCCAGTAGGAAGAGAGACTTACCTTTTTCACGATTCGGACTCACGAGAATATATGTAGTAGATATCGAAGTGCCTTACTCTTTGTTCGATTTTATGAGAGTAAATTGATTTCGCGGCAAGTACAATATAGAAGATGCAATAAACTGCGAATTATGTTCTACAGATGGTATCTAGCGTTTATGATGACTTGTAGAAAAAGCTTTGCAATATAATTTTCTTTTAGTTCGTCACACAGTTTCCAACAGTTTCTAGTAAACTATACATGTACATTATATATAGAATGCCTTATACAAAAGAATATCAGGATTCCATATATTAGTTTTTATGTGATAAACTATATTTATTTAAAACTATAGTATTAGACACTACGGAAAAGTAGCAAAACGTCATAAATTATCTTCTTTCTCTCTCTCTCGTAAAATTATTAAATTATTACATATCTTTTTAAAATCACTTTATCTAATTTTCATTTATATATATAATATATTTATTTTATAATGATATATGCTTGAGTTACATATACTGCGACGTCCATCAGAGAAAATCGTACACACGCGTCAAGACGTTAAAGACATGAGTCGCGCAGTCGCGACGAGCGCGCGCGCGAACCAGTTTATTGACTATTATATCATCAGAGTTATAATTCATTGCCGTCCTGCTCGTATAAATGTCTATATGTGAACATGCGTGAATCTACTCACACGATCGTAATCACGTTCTGTGTTCCCGGATGCGAGGCGTAATTATTTACAAGAAGCCGCGTGGGTCTCAGAGAGAAGCCTGTCGAAACTATCACTATTAACAAAGAGTCATTCATGTGTATATATTTCAAAGACTTATTGGCGAATCATCGGTGATTATTCGATATGTATCTCGCAGATGACGACAAACGAGAAACATACATATATATGTATATTATCAAGAAATCTCACGATTGTAAAATTTATTATTTGACACTTTAATGCGCGATATATCGAATTTTACGGCTGTATTGCTTGAATGCGCGAACTTTGTTTATTGACGTGATGACTTAATAAAAATCTTGAATGAATTGTCAAACAATATGTTGACATAAAGTAAATTGTCAAAAAATACCACTATTTTAATATGTAAAATAATATTATTTATGAAATTTTTTAAAATATATCTCAAAGAATTATGTTTTCCGACTAAAAATGGTATTTACTTTCTATCTCGTAATAATTTATACTTTCTTAAATGTACTTTAAATATACACATTTATGTTTATATATTTATACAATTTTTTCTATTTATTTTGAATACACAGTTTGTCTTCAAAAGGTTCACATAATCGTCAACATAATTGTTTTATTAACACCTTGACGCCGGGTTCTTTTGGAGCAGACTTTACGCGGAACCGGGGAAAATTCGTGAAATTTCGGATAATTGCGATATTTTAGAAAAACTGTTATAACTTTTGAACCACTTAATATTTTTCAATGAAATTTTGAAGAAAAAGAGAGATTACTTTTTTGCATAAGAATTGATACTTTTTAACTTGCAATTATTAGAAATTTTCAACTTTTTTATTTATAAAGTAAAACATTTGACAAACGCACTTGCGC